TTTGTACAAGTCAAAAGTTTGATAAAATAAAAGATAAAACAAAATATTTATTGCTTTAACTTTTATGTGAGATCAAGTGAGAACATGATGCAACTGAACTTAGGATATATTCTAAGCGCCTACGTACCTCAGTGAAGAGGATCAAGTCACAGCGTATAGTTCTAGGGAAGTGAGTGATTATATTTTTTTTTTTTGTGACGTACACAGTTTATACTCTTGCGGGCCAGGAGTGACATTCAGTTTAGGCTCGTACCTTAAGGAGCATCATCTTACTTCAAGGGTAGTACCTCTTCAGGAATTTTGCATTAATAGGACTGATCCTTACGCCATCTGCGTCACCAAGCTTGTAAGCACTATTTGAATATGCTTTTTGTACGATATATGGTCCATCCCACTTTGAGGTAAATTTTTCCCCAGACTTGTGCGAAGTAATGATGGGTCTTCTTACCGCGAGAACTTGGTCTCCAACTTGGAAGCACCTCAAGCGAACCTTCTTGTTAAAAGCACGAGATAGACGAACTTGATAACATTTAAGATTTCGTTGAGCTTCTAACCCATTTTCATCAAGTACTTCTAACTCTGCAAAACGTACTCGAGTTAGGCTCAAGATCTGTGTACCAATGATTTCCCTTTAGAGAGCGGACAAACTGCTTGACAAGATGGTCTCCATAGGTTCCAGCATTATTACATGTCTCCACAAAGTGTGCAACATGTTGTTTTGGATTTCCTTTACCCTCAAATAGTTGAAATTTGGGGGGTTGATAACCAGCAGGCATTTTGAAGTTATCAATTCTCGCAGTGTATGGCTTGGCATACATGGGAAGACTTAGTGGAGACTTCATACTTATCTTTGATTGTGCCTTCAATGAACTCCTTAAAGCGATCGAGTGGGATCATTCCTTCGGAAGAAACTAGCATCTCATTAACAAACAGTGCTTTCTTCGCATGATCTCTGATCTCTTGAACTTCAACACCCTTTCCAGGCGCATGGCTCGTTACTCCATCTAAAAGTCCTTTCATCCTAACCATCACCTTATCGATTCAAGACTCTTGGTGTTGTACATGCTTTGTCAATCCTTCAACCAACTTCGTCAGATTTGCGAGTTGTTCCTCAGGAGAAGAAGCAGCAGTCATTATTGTTTGCATGATCATTGGAGATGTAGGAGAGTAGCATGGATTGTCGCGTAAGTTAATCTTCATCGAACTCACGTTACGCGATGCATGTGGAGATGATTCATTGGTTGAATCATAGTTCTCCGTCGTGGTAGAATTCTTGGAACTAGATAGATTAAGTAGAGTCGATGTCTTCTTGATCTTTTCAGCAACACTGCTTCTTCCTTCTAAAGCATTTGTGGAGGAAATTGCTCCTTTTGGAGTCGAAAACCCAAAAACAATAGTTGATGCGGACGACACTTGAAGTGCTTTTTGTCCTAGTGTAGCAGCCTTGCTCCTCGTAACAACTCTGAAACTTCCAAAGGTAACACCAAGAATTCCTTCAACTTCAGTAGAGAATGAGGAGCTAGTGGCCTTAGAGGTAGTTGATTGAGAGTTTTTCTTCATGGAAGTCATCTTGTTATTCTTTGATGCTTGAAAAGTTGAGATGAGAGGTAGAGATTATCCCACTGGGCGTGCCAGAATTTGTTTGCAACAAATTTCAAAGTGGTAGAAAATAAATTGCAATCACAATAAAATAGGAAGAAACATAACTATACTGATAAAGATTGTGGGTTCAATTCTCTTCCTCCCTTGTTTCTACTCTCCTGAGATTTATCCATGATTCGAGGGCCGTTAGTGGCATATTTCTCGAACTAGAATGATTTAGATTTGACCTCTATATGAATATTCCATCAATTTGTAGAATATTCAAGTTGCCTTTTAAGGCAATTTAGTAACATTTATATAGGCATGAACTAGGGTTTGTGGTTGAGTAGCCTCCAAGAATTATAATTGAAACTGAACACACCTTCTAGAGTCCCAATTAGAATTAAACACGTCTTGTAGAGTCCCACAAAATTTCAATGTCTACAAATGCCCCTGCTTCAAGGCTTGTCGAAGTGTAGACTCGTTGAAACTCAAAGATGAGGCTTGAAGCACTCATTCTTCCACCTTTGCAGCTTCAGATTTTCAGATTTGATTTATGAGAGAAGAGATGAAGGGCAGATTTGATCCCACTGGGCGTGCCAATTTGTTTGCAACAAATTTTAAAGTGACAGAAAAATAAATTACAATCACAATAAAAAGAAGAAACATAACTTTATTGATAAAAATTGTTGGTACAATTATGTTCCTCCCTTGATTCTACTCTCCTAAGATTTATCCATGATTCGAGGGCCGTTAGTGGTATATTTCTCGAACTATGATGATTTAGATTTGTCCTCTATATGAGTATTCCATTAATTTGCGGAATATTCGAGATCTTGATCTTTAAAAATACCCAAGAATTTATGGGATATTTTGAGATGCCTTTTAAGGGAATTTTATACCCTTTATATAGGCGTGAACTAGGGTTTAGGGTTTAGGGTGAGTAGCCTCCAAGGATCCTAATTTGAGTTGAACACAATTTGCAGAGTCCCTACTCGAATCGAACACATCTTGTAGAGTCCAAGAATTCTAATTGAAACTGAACACACCTTCTAGAGTTTCAATTAGAATTGAACATGTCTTGTAGAGTCCCACAAAATTTCAATGTCTACAAATGCCCCCTGCTTCAAGGCTTGTCGGAGTGTAGACTTGATGAAACTCAAAGATGAGACTTGAAGTACTCATTCTTCCACCTTTGCAGCTTCATATTTTCAGATTTGATTTAAGAGAGAAGAGATGAAGGGCAAATTTGGTCCCATTGGGCGTGCCAATTTGTTTGCAACAAATTTTAAAGTGATAGAAAATAAATTGCAATCACAATAAAATAGGAAGAAACATAACTTTATTGATAAAGATTGCGGGTTCAATTATGTTCCTCCCTTGTTTCTACTCTCCTAAGATTTATCCATGATTCGAGGGCCGTTAGTGGCGTATTTCTCGAACTGGATGATTTAGATTTGACATCTATATGAATATTCCATCAATTTGCGGAATATTCGAGATGCCTTTTAAGGGAATTTAGTAACCTTTATATAGGCATGAACTAGGGTTTGTGGTTGAGTAGCCTCCAAAAATTCTAATTGAAACTGAACACACCTTCTAGAGTCCCAGTTCGAATTGAACATGTCTTGTAGAGTCCCACAAAATTTTCAATGTCTACAAATATGTCTCAACTATTTGAATTGGTACAAAATTATTTTCGATCCACCTTTCAGCCCCCAAATATCACTAACATCAACATTTTCGCTCAAAATACTCTTATTTCTAATGGTCTGCACTTATAAGGTGGATGAAAGGCAATATTGTACCAAATCGCATAGTTCAGGGTTATTTTAGGTCTTTTTCTGTAAATAATTGAAGTTACTTAATATATAGGAACATATGATTGACTTGATTTTGAGTTTCATAATAAAATAATATTAACAAAAAAGGTTAGTCCTCTGCTCTCTACACTTTCCCTCCCCCCCCCCCCCCCTCTCCTATCCTCTCTCTTCCATTGTTTTTTTTGTTTTTTCTTTTTGGATCTTTTCCATCATTTTAAATTTAAATTTTCTTTCAACTTATGACAAAAAAAAAGGAGTAAAATATCTTTATAAAAAAAAGAGTAAAATAACGACGAGATCATTTTGATTTTAAAAAATAATAATAACGACGACATTCATACAAAAATATGTAGTTCAAATAGAAGATTTAATTAAGTGACTATATATGTATAGTGCATTTTTCTTGTGTGTGTACCCAAAATTCAAAATAAAAGAATGAAAATAACTTTTCCTCCTACCCCACACACCCACACACCATGAAAATAATATAATTAAGAGGATATGAACATGTAAGTTCATTTAAGAAAAAAAAAAAAAAAGAATGAGCAAGACAGATAATTGAATGGAAAATTTATCTGAATAATAATAATCTTTTTTAGATGAAATATCATATGGGACGAGTATGAATTTTAGTTAAATCTCAATTATGAGTACTCCCTTATAATAAATTGGCGGTTGATATAAAATAGGTCAATACTTAATAGTAACATATCATGAAATTAATAATTTTTGAATATTATTTTATGCATATCGGGTCAAAACATGAATCATGTGTAATTTTAATTATTTATTTGATAAGGGTTTAACATTAATTCAATTAGATTAGAAAAATAATAAATAAATATTTAATTATTTTACTTCAGGGGGCTTCGTTAAAAATAAGGGCAATTATGAACCAAATGGTTAATATCAAAGGTATTTTTGAGCCAAAAAGTTGACGTGATAAGTATTTGGGGTCGAAAGGTAAATGAAGAATAGTTTGGTATGAATTCAGATAGTTGAGGGGGATTTTAGGGCCTTATCCGTATTTATTGTTATTGGGTATTGGTGCAAATTAACAGTTTTGTATGAATTTAGATAATTGAGGGGCATTTTAGGGCCTTATCCGTATTTATTATTATTGGGTATTGGTACATCTCCTTTCTCATTCTGTCCCGTATTTGACTTATCAATTTAAATTTGCAATAGATGCTATCCCCTGCAACAAAACATCTTTAACATATACAAATTTATGGGTGGGTTTGTCTTCTTCTGCCCATTATACAAACTTATGAGAAGAGTTACAGAATACTACTGGGTTAGAAAAGAAAATTCAAAACTCCTGCAATATTCAACAAGAAAGATTCGTTTATCTCAAAGGGGTCTCTAGGTGGGCGAAGCAGAAACGAAACAACTCAGTTTTCAGGATAAAATGACCACACACACATAAAAGAAAGTGAACAATAGTAGTCTTTCCTCGTGAAATTATGACTAGCTACTATGCATCATTTAAATACAACTTTTTTCTTTTAAATATTCATACTAGAAATTTACTATATGCAACCGTGCAAAGACATTAATAATGATAACTATAAATATTCTAAAATCTTATTTTTATACATATCATATGTAATTTTATAAAAAGTGCACCGCAATGTATGAATGTCATTGTTCTTATAGGTAGAACACGTTGTTACAGAGAAGTAAAATATAAGATGAAAAATTACTTGTCAATCGTTATAGTAAAATGTTGTTATAACGAATGGTTGTGATAATGAACCTTGATGTAGTAGGTTATCAACTTCACGTACCACTTAAAATGTTACACCTTCACTGAACTCTTACGGTGCTGCTATCTTGTTTCAACTTGACGAGACTATTCTCAATGTTCCATAAAAGAGGTTTATAGCTGGAAAATATTAAGATGGTAGAGTTACTAGTTAATAACAAAAAGGATATGGGCAAATTGCTTATGAATATGTCAACAAGTCTAAAAGATACATACATGCGAGTGAGACCATTGTATGCTTGTATGGCCTGCTGGAGCCGTGCATTAAGCTGCAAGATTTCAGCAGACAAGGCTTCTATTTTGCTCTGCTCTTCAGCTAGCGAACCCTAAATCAACAACCGATTCGGAGGACATAACTATTATGATTATTTTATACTTCACCAAAATCATAATGACAAGGAATTCAATCTGTCTGGAATGATCAGTCCCAACACTTTTGAGTATTACAACCTTTTTTTCCCCTAAATGAGACTTCCCGTAAGTTCATTATGTGTTTTGTGACTTGTGGGGATGGCTGACATGGGCACAAGGAACTTCGGTATGTTCTGTTGGACAATAATAACATATCTAGTGAAATCTTACAAGTGAGGTTTGGAGGATAAATGTACGCAGACCTTACCACTAGAGACTGTGTTTGAAAAATCTTCGGCTCAAGTGCAACAAATTAGCAAGTAACAAGGTAACAGTGCAAAGTCTATCGGAAAGGAACAATAAAATAATGTGATATCAAAACACAGTAAACAACATACTAGTAAAGATTATTAAAAACAATAATAAACAATGATAAAAATAAAAGGCAAGAACTATAATAATACAACTAGTCCCATGACAAAAGTCACCCTTAGCAACACAACACTACACTACCTACTAACCTTCTATCCTATTATGTGTCATCCACACCCTCCTATCTAAGGTCATATCTTCAGTATCCTAAAGTTGTGTCATATCCTACCTTATCACTTCTTTCTAATACTTATTCGGTCTACCTCTGCACTCCTCATACATATTAGTTAGTTGTTTTAGGACTACAATATATACTTTTAAGTTTCATATATTTCAATTTTCAGTTATTTTAAGAGGTAGTTACCATGGTTAACACTATGACTTAAAAATAAAACTGATCTATTTCAGTTTATTTCTAGTAATGTTTATGTATCTATTTTTCTATAGAATTAATATTACTCTTTATAAGTTTTCTCTAAGTCATCTTCATCATTTTTAGTTCCTTATATTCCTGCTTTTTTTTTTTTTTTTGTAGCAAACTAGACAATGTTTTCATTGTCTCATCTGCAATTTTCTTATTAAAAACTAACAGTCAGTATCAGAGTAGTTTTCTTCTTAAGGGGTATGTGATCGAGTTGGAGAAGCCATGGATGATGGAGCAAGTCTCACCAATTGCTCCGTCGGTCTTTGATGGAGATTAAGATAACTATCAGATTTGGGCAGTACGAATGGGGACATACATGGATGCTAAAAATCTTTGAGAAGTTGTGGAAGAGGATTGCGACATTCCAGCCCTATCGTATAATCCCATCATTGCTTAGATTAAAGCACACACGGAAAAGAAGACAAAGAAATCAAAGGCCAAGGCATGTTTATTTGTTGTTCTATCATCAACAGTTTCCACACGGATAATGTCTCTGAAAACTGCTAAAGAAATGGAATTATCTCAAGGAAGAGTATGTCAGAGAGGAGACAATAAAAGGTGCGCAAATTTTAAACTTAATAAGGGAGTTTGAATTGCAAAAAATGAAGTAATCTAAAACAGTGAATGAGTATTCAGATAGACTTCTAAATATTGCAAATAAGGTGAGGCTACTCGGCTTTACACTTGCAGACTCGAGAATTGTTGAGAAGATTCTTGTAACAATTCTTGAAAGGTATGAAGCAATAATTAAGACCTTAGAAAATACTAAGGAATTGTCAAAAATTAATTTGACAGAGTTGTTCAATTCCCTGATAGCTCAAAAGCAAAGAAGAATCATGAGACAAGATGTTAAAACAGAAGGAGCTCTTGTCAGTAAAAACCGGGTTAACAAAATTCAGAAGAAGAAAAAGGATCAAGCATTGAGTGAAAGAGAAACATCAACCAATAGCAATAGCAAAAGTAAGGGAGGAAGTACGTAGAAAAGTTATCCCCCTTGCCACCACTATGGAAGAAAAGGGTCATCCACCATTCAAGTATGGAGGAGACTTGATGCTAAATGCAAGAAATACAATCAACTTGGACACAAAGCAGTGATTTGCAAAAATAAGACCCCACGGTAGGAAGCAAATGCTCAAGTTCTTGATCAAGAAGAAGATCATCTTTTTGTTGCAACATGATTCTCAAGTAAGAGCTCCATAGATTCATGGTTAATTGATAGTGGGTGCACTAACCATATGACTTAAGACAAGAGCCTATTCAAGGAGTTGAAGCCCACTGAAATTTCCAAGGTTCGAGTAGGAAATAGAGATCACCATCTTGTCAAAGGAATTGGAATCATAGTTATCAAGACAAGCACTGACCCAAATAAAATTTCACAAGTTCTTTAGGTTTCTGAAATTGATCAAAATTTACTATTTGTAGGACATCTAATGGACAAAAGGATGCAGAATTTTCCTTCAAAGAAAATCATTGCCAAATCAGTGACACTATTGGAAATGAAATTTTCAGGGTGGAAATGAGAGGGAGGAGTTTTTCCTTTGATCCAACGGAGAAAGAACAACTAGCTTATTCCATGAAGGCAAGTGTAACAGAAATCTGGCACCAGAGACTTGGTCATGTCATCTACAAGCATTATTGTTGCTGAAGAAGGAAGATACAACAAGAGGACTACCAACTCTAGTTGATCACTCACCAAGTTGGTCAAGCTTGTCAATTTGGTAAGCAAAATAAAAAGTTATTTCCTAAAGCATTAGGGCAAACTTCTTAGAGGTTACAACAGATTAACACAGATGTTCCAGGACCTAAAAGAACAACATGCCTTAGTGGTAATCTATACTATGTTACATTCATTAACGATTATACAAGATTCTTCTGGATTTTTTTCATGAAATACAAATCAAAAGTGGCTAGAATTTTCTCGATGTTCAAGAAGATGAGGGAAAATCAAAGCGGTTGGAAAATCCAATCCATGTGGTCTAAAAATGGAAAAGAGTAATTCTGGAAAAAAAATTAACAAATTTTGTGAGGAAACAGGTATTACTCATCAACTTAAGTGCTCTATATACTCTGCAACAAAATGAAGTTAGTGAAAGGAGGAACATATATATAATGGAGATGACGCGAAGCCTATTGCATGAAAAAGTGTTGCCAAAAAGTTTTTGGGCCGAGGGAGCTAATACAACAATATTTCTCCAAAATCGGCTTCCCACTAAAGTATTGTAGAATAAAACTCTATTCGAGGCTTGGAATGGATTCAAACCATCACTAAGCTTCATTTAAGCATTTGGTTGTGTTTGTTTCTTTCATGTGTCGCAAGTTAAAAAAGAAATGATTTTCTTAATCAAACTTGGGAGTATAACTATGTGTATCCCCTGATTCTTGTCTCTAATTTCTTTTCCTTGATTTGAGAGGGGAAGCCCTGATGAAAGTGAACCTTTATTATTTCATTTCCTTTTCTCTTCGAACGAATTAGAAGGAAGGAAATAGTCGTGATGGATCATTGCAATTGTGCATTGACTATTGTGCACTAAACAAGATAATTGTGAAGAAGAAATACTATATTCTCTTGATCACCAACTTGTTTGATAGATTAGGGAAGGTCAAGTTCTTCACGAAGGTAAACTTGTAAACTTGCTAAAAAGGTAGTTCTTGGAATCTTTGTGGGTTATAGCTCATCCTCCAAGGCCTACAAATTATATAATCCACAAACAGTGAAGATAATTGTCAATAGAGATGTGCACTTTTATGAGGAAGGGAGTGGGACCGAAAGGACAATCAACTTTTAGTCAAAGCTTCAGAGGAGCAAACATCCGATCAATGGCAAAATGAGTTAGTGAATGATCCTCCAATTAGAGGTACAAGATTACTCTCTGACATCTACCAACAAAGTAATGTGGCAATTTATTTATTTTTTGAAAATGGTAATGGTGTATTCTTCAGCATTAAGGAGATGTTGGTGACCTGCAAACAGAGGGGAACAAAAGAAGAGAAAAAAAAATATTTACAAGGGTCCTAATAATTCTACAATTTGTTCTGTAACCTCTAAACCTTTCTCTTTACACCAAAAATAAAAGGATGCAATACAATCCCATCTAACCTTCTGAATGGAATTGGACCTATCTTCAAAATTTCTACTATTTCTTTCTTTCCATATTGTCCACCAAATGCAATTTGGAATTATCCTCCACCATGCCTTTTGACTCGTGCTCCCCCCTCTTCTTATCCAACAACTCAACAAATCTGCAGTATGCTCGGGCATGGTCCAGTTTGTTTTTGTGAGACTAAGGAAGATGGCCCAAATTTGTGTTGTAAAGTTGCAATGCAAGAATAGATGTTGGTTGGTCTCTGCTGTGTTCCGGCATAATGAACACCAAGATACTATAATCTTTCCTTTTCTCCTCAGCACTTCATGTGTCAGGCAAGCCTTTTTAGCAACCAACCATGTAAAGCATTTTATCTTAGTTGGTGCTAAGGTTCTCCATACCTTTCTCCACAAACTCTGCTTAGAGTTGCATTGTTGTGGACTTTCCATTTTGTATGCTCTGCTAACCGTGAAAGCCCTATCTTTACTATGTTTTCATCTCAAAGAATCAGGAGCATTGGTGATGCCAAGGAATTTTTCTAATAGCTCTAGCAATTTGGCCACTCTCTCCAGTTCCCAGTCATTCAAAAACCTTTTGAAGATTAGATCCCACCCTTGTGTTGTCCAACATTCATTGATATTTGCTTTAGGATTACTACATAGTAAGAACAGATCTGGAAAGGATTCTTTTAGAGGAATCTGTTTGTTCCACGCATCTGTCCAAAACTTAGTTCTCCTGCCATTTCCCACTTCAATGTACGTATTAGCTTCAAGTTTTTGCCATAAGTTTCTGATAGTTCTCCAAACCCCCACCCCATAGGCATCAACACTAACATTACTGCACCAAGGATTGTACTCACCATACTTGGATCTGATGACATCCTTCCATAAAGCTTGCCCCTCTTCATTATACCTCCATAACCACTTCATCAAAAGACTTGTTTTGTTTCCTTAGATCTCTAATACCCATACCTCCTTTGTCTTTGCTTTTCAAGGTTATCTCCCATTTGACTAGGTTATAACCTTTAATTTCTTTGCATCCATGCCAAAGGAAGTCCCTCCTTAATTTGTCCAGCTTCTTCAGAACTTTGGGGGTA